CTTCTATCTTTCTATATCTGATATTCTGTCCTCATACTGGGTGGTTCTGCTGTGTATACTTTCAATGGAAGTTTTAATCTCCTGGATATCTGTTTGGATCAGTTTCATGGATTTTATTTCTTTCCTATGTTGGGAGTTCATCCTTTCCTCATTTCCCAAACTCCTCTATTCTTTTTATCTGTATCTGCTCTAGAGTCACTTACCATGTCTTTCATTATGGCCACCACCTCTGTGGTTATCTCAGGAACTATTTCTGCTTTGATTTTCTTTTCTGGTACCAGGGATTGAACTCAGGATCTTGTGCTCTTGAAGCAGGCACAGTGCCACTTAGCTAAATCCCCAGCTCTGCTTTGATTTTCTAGAGCCCCATTCATCTGCTTTTTACTTCAGAGAGCCCAGGTGCATGGTTTTCAAATTGTTTCACCTCATGGCTCCCTGGGTTTGCCTTTGGTGAGCTGGAAGTTTGGGGTTGCATCTTGCTTAAGTGTCTTCTTGTTCTTTTTTTTTTTTTTAGTTTAATTGCTGGGTTGATGCTTGTAAATTGCTTATTGCAAGTAGCTTTATTGCTAGTACTTAGAACATTTGGAAATTACTACTTCTCAGAAATGTCTTCCAGGTGTAGCTAGCTTTTGGGTTTTGAGTCTGTTGCAAGACCCTACCTCTTCACTTTATTGGGGATGAGAAGTTGCTGCCTATTTGGCCTAGGCCCTGGTTCCTTGGCACTTGTCTATAGTATTGTTTATGACCCTTAGGCAATCTCAGTCTCATCACACCAGGAAGAAGAACTGATTAGAACAACTATGTCACCTTGGTTAAAGTAGCACCATCAGCAATAATGATAGTATCAAATCTAGAAATACTAGAAAATGACAACTGCTGTAACTATTAATTTGCCACCTTTAACCATATGAACTAGATTTGTGGTTATATAACAAACTCTAAAACAAACCAGAAAATGGTATACAGTAAGTATGCCCTCAGTATGGTGATTTTACCCTCAGGGGAGAAAATTTAAAAGAGGTTAGGGGAAAAAATAGAGAAATAAAAGAAGAAGCAGAGATAAGAAGCAAGGCTGGACAACAAAGGAAGATTATGCAAACTTTGTCTCTGCTGTCACTTTTGGACAAGGTGGGGAGACAGAGTCCAGATCCATGTTTATTAATCCCAGCCAGCCAGCTGTAGATTTATGGTGTGGTAGTGGGTGATCCTAGCACCCTGCACCCTTAGCTCTGAAGCTCAGGCTGTTTTTTGGCTGTGAGGCTGGAACCCATTTTCTTCTGCCTGAAACACCCTGTGTGCCTCCCACTGGCTTGACCTTGGCTCCTTGACTTTGGCTCCTTGACCTCCTGCTGACTTGAACTTGGTTCCTCCTCACTCGGTTGGAAACAGTCCATAGCTGCTCCGAGCTCAGAGCTCAGTTTGGGCCCTCTCCAAAATGACTACTGGTCAATCACCCTTTCCTAGGGGATGTCTGAACAAAAATAATCCACCAGCCACTGCAGTCTGCTGTGTCCAGTGCTCCGTTCCACTGATCCATTTTTCTGGGGTTGCCAGTAGTCACTGTGCATCTGCAGGTTCGAGCTGCCCTTCCTACACAGTGAGTGAAGGCTCAGGAGTGCTTGCCACCTCCTTCATCTTCATTGAAGTCTCTCTCCTCACTCTCCCCTTGGGCTTCAATTCTCACTTCAGATCCTTGCTATGTCCTGGGGACACTTCCTTCCTTCTTCTCTTCCTCATGTTGCTATATTCCAGCATCTGGACACCAAATCTCGAACAGCTATTTCCCTGCTGTTCACCACTCTGCCATCTCCAAGCACTATCTTTATCAGCAATCCTGTCAGGGAGATAGCATTATGCCCAGGCCTATCTGACTCCAAAACCATGCTTTTTCCTTACTTTATTGATCAAAAAAGGTGTTACATGGCCAAGTGAGTATCCTACTTGCTTCACAAAGATGGTACATTTTCCTGCTTGAATGGATTTCCTCTGTGTGTGTGTGTGTGTGTGTGTGTGTGTGTGTTACTGGGGTTTGAACTCAGGGCCTCAAGCATGCTAAACAAGCACTCTCCTGAGTATCCCTACCCTTTTTTTAAAAATTTCATTTGGAGACAACACCCAACCTAGTTGTCCAGGCTGGCCTTGAATTTGTGATCCTCCTGCCTCTGCCTCCCAAGTGGCTGGGTTTACAGGCATGTGCCACAATGTGTGGCTTTTCATAGTTTCTTTCCAAAGACCTGGGAGGGTCCTCAAGGGAACAAGGATAATAAGGGATGGAAGTGAGAAGTGAGAGGTAAGCCTTAGGGTGGGGAAGAAACCTACAGGCTGTAATTTAATGTCTATCAATAAATTTTCCTTGTCTGCTGTTATGGCTTGTATCTAGATATTCCCCCAAAGTCTCATGCCATCACAAGTGGGGGTTTTCAGAGGTGGCTGTATTTAGGGCACGTGATGCTGGGATCCAGTGTTTGATGCTAGGATTAAGGGTGTGTGATTACTAAATTAGCCCACTGATTGATTTGGCATAGTTCTGGGTGTGGATAATGGGAAGGCCCACTGCAAGTGTGGGTGGCACCACCCAAAAGGCCGGGTAGCCTGGGTGAATTTAAAGGGAGAGAAAGAAAACAGGTCTACTGCTGCTTCTACTGCTGTCATTGCTTGCTGTTTGCTGCCTTCTTTGTACCCTGCTTTGCCATGGGCTGTTTTTCCCCCTTGATGCTCCTCTGCCATGGCATCCTGCCTTGGAACCAGCCAACTATGGACTGAAACTTTTATAAACTGTAAGCCAAAATAAACCTTTCCTCTTTTAACTTTGGGTGTTGGGCATTTTGCCTCAGCAAGGAGAAAAGTAACTAAGACATCCCCAAATATCTCCTTACATAACTTATTAAGATGCTGGATGGGGCTGGGGATTTAGCTCAGTGGTTCTGGTGCCTGCCGTGCAAGTGCAAGGTCCAGAGTTTGATCCCCGGTACCAAAAAAAAAGATGCTGGAAATCATCACTGTTATGGTTTTATGGTGAAGGCCTTATTTTCAGCTGGCTTTTAGAACATAAGCATTACCTGGGAAGAGTACTAAAAACAAGGAGCCTATCAACACAGAAAGACTAATTTAGTTTATCAGATCAGTCATTGTCTGGGTGATAGGATAAAGGTCATCAAGATTTGACAGACACAAGGGAAGGTTTAGAAAGAAAGCAAGACAGGTCCACAGTTTGGGGCATTTCTGAGACCAGGAAAAGAGTGTGGCAACGGGCACAGGTGTAGATTCAGGGCATTGGGGAGTGGAAGAGCACTGAAGGTAGACTTAGACCACTTCCAAATTCTATTTTTATCAAGCACTCTCTGGAATTCTATTTGCTTTCACTTCCTTTACTGCTAAACTCAAAGGTCAGAGCCAGATGTGCCTGTAATCCCAGCACTTGGGAAACTGAGGCTGCAGGTTCAAGGCCAGCCTGAACTTTATAGTGAGACTTTGTCTCAAAAAGGGGGGGGGGGCAGGGATTTAGCTCAGTGGTTTTGCCGCCGGCTGCGCAAGCGCAAGGACCAGAGTTCGATCCCCGGTACCAAAACAAACAAACAAAAAAACACAATACAAATTTTAAAAAACAAACTCAATGTCACAGTCATGAGAGGCTTGGATGGGGGCAACTTCGATGTGTAAGGAAGTCTAGGCTATTACACATATACTATCATACTACACCTCCAGCTTCAAGGAGCCACAGAGCTAACCTAGGCAAGAGAGAAGTAAACATGTCAGGGTTTGGAACAGCTTTCCCAAAGAGGAGCAAGGGGGCTCTTTGCCAGCTGCTGACACCTGTGGCTCACCACTGACAGTTTAACAAGTCCCACCCACCACCTCTCCCTCCTCGAAGGCTCCTCTGCCCAGGCCCACTACATCCATTTGCAAGCATAAACCTAGAATTCTTCTGATGACCACAAGGGGGTGGTATATAGTAGGGACCCTGTGGGCTCAGTTGCTCAGGTTGTGGCCAATCTATTTAGCAGCAGAGCTGGTAGAATCTGGCCCCAGGAGTTATAAACCAGCCCCAGACTGTCTCTCAGACCCCAGACATTCCCCTTCCAGAGTAATCCAATTGCCTCAAGCTTCTGTTCCTAACTCAAGGGCACCTGCCTGCCTGGGTTCCAAGTGTCTGTTGTGTTGGAACCCAAATCTTCCCAAACACTCAGATGAGGGGAGCAGAACCAGCAATAATGGAAAAGAGAGAGGAAAGGCAATAGAGGAAGATAGTAGAAACAACCAGGGCTGGTGATTAGGAATGGAGGTCAGGTTGTAATACTTACGTTCTTTTGCCTGGGAGCCTGTTTTCCCAATGTACAGCCAGGCTGAACCTGTTCCCTACAGCCCTTCAATAAGGAAAGGTTTCGGCCCTCTGTCCAGATTCTGTTTTTAGACCATGAGTGTGTGTGCACTGTAAGTTATTAGCCATAGATTCCCAGGAGTCATTAGTTGGCCCAGACATCCCAGAAAAAAAAAAAAAAATCAGACCCCCAGACCAAGGTAGGATGAGGGCCAGGCTGATTCATGGCCTTGAAGGAAGGGCCAGGCTGCTAACAATAGAGGACCAAGGTGCTTTGTGTATTATTATCTATGGAGCCCGAGTCCCTGCTACAGTCCCAGTTGACAGAGAAAGGAAGTGCCAGTGCCTTTCTGCTCTGGACAACCCTGCCCTTCCAGGGTCAGTGTGCAGCCTGGGGGAAGAACAGTGGTCTTCTGAAGGCAGGAAGGAGATGGGACCAGCAGCCTAAACTGGAGCAAAACACTTTTGGTCTCTTGTGATGGATTGGGATGCCCCTCGGAGGGGAAGAAAGGGTTCCAAAGACCCTGCTGAGAAAGGAGTAGGAGCCGGAAGTAGAGTGTTGACTTGGATTGATCCCCCTCTCGGAGGTGAATTACCCTCTGAATGGAAGTGTTTTCCAATAAGCTCCTGGAAACCTTCCCTTTATTAGCCCACCTCAGGAAAACATGAGACTTCAGATTGGCTGGCTGTGTCACAGTGTTAACGCCGAGGCCAGCCCCTCGCCTTGACTGCTGAGCAACAGCTCATTATATTACAATTTATAAATAGAAAATAAAATAATCAAGTAGGGCTGAAGCTCAAGGGAAAAAGAGGCTAAACAGTCCTCGTTAAGGTGTGCCCATCATCAACTCCAACTACCAAGGAGCAGGAATCGCCTCCTCTCGGTTGAAAGTTGTCCCTAAACCAGGCCGTTTCCGAGGAGCCCCCTTTCCTCCCCTTGCCCTCCCACCCTCCCAGTCAGTGTCGCCTGCTGCCCACAACCGCAGATCTTGTCGAGCGCCTCCAGGTCGCCATGCCTGGGGGGCTCAGCCCAGCAGCTCCTCCGCCAGGCGGTAGAGGAGGCGAGAGTACCAGTGCATGCCAGTCGGCTGGACCGCGCCCCCGGGCAGCAGCGCCCCCAGCGCATGCAGCAGGCGCAAGGGGGCAAAAGCGCGGTGCGCCCACTGGTGACTCTCCAGAACCGCATAGCACGAGGCCAGAACGTCATTGACCAGCAGGGTCCCGTGCGCGGTGAGTGGCGCGAACACACCCACGGCTTCCTCCCGAGCCACGCGGGCCACGCGCGCAGGGCGAAGTGCGTCCCCACCGGGCGCCAGCACCGAGTCCCCCTCGCGTAACCGGCGCGCGAACACCGGTGCAAAGTCGCCAGGCGCCGGCGCCGGCCCTCGAGCGGCGAACACCAGGTGCCAGGGCGTGAGCAACAGTTTGCGCGGAGGCCTCTCGGTCTCCACAGCTACGAATGAGGCCCGACGTTGCAGGTCCCGGTCCAGGAAGAGCAGCACCGGTGTGGGCACCACGCGACCCGCCGCGTCTGCCGCCAGGACCCAGTCCCCGCGGTGCAGTTCCCGCAGCCCCTTCCGCTCGCCGCTCTGCAGGCGCACGGTGGCGTTTCCCGGAAAGCAGCCTCCCGCCCGGACCGCCAGTGAATTATCTGCAGGGAACAAGAGAGAGAGAGGACTGAATGGAGAGCAGCGGCTCCAGGACGCTGGTACAGATTCTCAAGGATACGGGTCAAGCGACCCAAGGCAGATCTCGCCAATCCTGGACAGTGCAATTCCCCGCCGGTCTGGCCCCAACCTGGGCAAGAATGAAGGGTGGTTTAAGGTCTTTCCCGGAGGGAGCCCCCTTGGGGCGGATCTCACGCCCGGTCCCCTCCCGTACCAGCTTTGACCGACACGTGGATATGGTTGCGGGACTCGTAGTAGACCCAGTCGAAGCCGGCTTCCACTGCCAGGCGCGCCAGCAGCCCGTACTTATTGCGGTCGCGGTCAGATGTGGTGATGTCCAAGGCTCGACCTTCGTAGTGCAGCGAGTCCTGAGCGTGGTGGCCGTCCTCATCCCAGCCTTCGGTCACCCGGAGGCGCACTCCGGGCCACATGTTCATCACTGCAATGGCCAGAGCGTTCACCCGCTCCTTACAACGCTGGCGAGGAATGAAAAGAGTTGGTTTCTCCTTTATCACGGCCATCACCATAGGGGTAAAAGGGACCTCAGTCAGAGCCTCCCTCTTCCTTGTTCTCCACTCTTCCCACCTTCTGCGTGACCTGAGGAAGTGAGACTCTGAAGAGGTGTAGATGCCAATCTGCACTCACTTTCCAGGGCATCGTTGGAAATTGTGGGGTCATTTCTGTGGTTAAGAGGGGATGCCCTACGTAGCTCTCTCTCCCCACTTTCGATGCCAGGTCTCACCGCTACTCGTTCTGGGACCTCGGCCCAACCTGAGAGAAGGCCAGAATTGGGAGGGCGGTTGGTGGCTTGGTTAGGGAGGGCCTGGCTCCCCGAGAGTAGCCCTTGTTTGAGCCTGGCCCCCGCCCCAGGCCCTGGCTGCCCTCCCTCCGCCTGATTCATCTTTTGTTTCGTCGCCTTCCCTGGCACTGGGCATCGCATCGCTTCCTTCCTTCCTCCCTTCCTTCCTTCCTTCCTCCTCCTCCTCCTTTCGGCCCCTAGCATTAACCCCTTTGTGGCCTGGGTGCCCCCCATAGAGGTGCCTAAGGGAAGCCTTGCGGGATCCAGGCTGTTGGAAAAAGGGTTGGGTGGCTGGCGGGGGTTGCGCGAAGCACAATGGCCATTCTCCGGGATGACTTAACTGAGCGAGAATCCCGGGCCGAGGCCGGGAACGCGCCGGGAGAAGCGGACTCAGCAGCTCCAGCCACAAAGGCGCTTTTCAGCCGCCCCGGCTCGGAGAGGAAAGGGCAGAGAGCCGCACCCCCCACCCCTGCTCCAGCCCGCCAGCCCCTCCCCCAGCGCAGCCAGTCCTCGCAGTGCCACTAAGGCTCTGCCAGCCGCGAGAGCCTCCATTTCTCCATCTCGGTTCCAGAAGCAGCCCGAGACGTGGGAGTTGCACCTGAGAACACCGGCGGGCGCTGCCCTTGCGTGGATCCGGGGGGCCCCCTGCAGGGTGGGAATGGAGAAGAGGAAAAGAAGCGGCGGCTGGGAGCCAGTACTGGGGGAGTGAGGCCACAGTTATCTCGGCGGCCCCAGTCTGAGACGAGACCTTGGCGCGCAGCACAGCACGGACGCCGCGGGAGGAGCCGAGGACAGCCTCCTTTTCTTCTCCCTCCCACCTCTCACCTCGGACTTGGTTTTCTGAACTGCCAGGGGGACACATTCCCCCCTGCCCTTCCCTGGTCGCCCCCACCTCTGCGGGGGGGGGGCAGGAAAAGTGGTGGCTCCTTCCAACTTCTTGTCGTCTTGTCCCCTCAGGAGGCCCTGAACTGCGGGGGCAGCAGCCCAGTGCACAGCCGACTCAATGGAGGCCTTTTGCAGCCAGGGTGTGGGAGATAAGCAGGACTGAGGGGGTTCCCAGGCCTGTCAGAGGTCCCCCTGAGCCCGTCCCTTGTTCTGTCCCCTCTGCTGCAGGTGGCAGCCTGAGAAAAGGGCCACGTGACCAAGGAGGGGGAAAAAGAATGTCCCCTTCCGATCACAGGGTAGGAGGGAGGTTTCAGTGCAGAAGCAAGAAGGAATTCTTTCTCCTCTGGACAGGTTTTCCTAACAAAGTAACCTGGAAAACTATGGCAATTAATCAGAGTATATCCGGCCTCCCCGCTCCCTCTCCTCTCCATACACAATTAGGTGGTGTAATGGAAAGTGTGTAGGATTTAGAATCCGGGAGTTGTGAATTCCAGTCCCTGAAATGCCACTAATTAGTTGTGAGACTTTGATTAAATTGCTTTTCCTCCTGGGGCCCAGCTCTCAGATGTGAAACGAAGGACGAGGTGAGGTGGAGGAAAGTGGCTTCCGGGTTTCCTTGCAGCTCTGACACTCCAGATCCCTGGCCAGAGGTGCTGCTTCTCTTCGGAGGCACGGGCTACCTCACCCAGGTGGGTTCGGTGCCAGTCTGCAGCAGATGCTAGTGATGGTTGGTTGAATTGAATTCTTTAGTTCAAAGGAAAACCCTCGAGCTAAACTGAGCTTGGAGGATCCAGTAGCCCTTTTATTTTCAGGTGGGCTCATCTATTCCCACTGAGGATGGCCTTTTGATCCCCCAATGTCGTTTGCACCTCGAAGAGCCCCGTCCCAGGCACCTGCCCAAAACAATTCCTGCCCAGCCCCTCGGGTGGATGCCTTGGTGACCTGACCACTAGCTGCCCCTTTCCAAGTCCCCTTCAGTCTCCTCACTTTGGCCCTCAGAGCTTTTCCACAATGCAGTCAGGAGCCAGGCTAAGGGTAGAGCCTTTTGACTGCTGCCCAGCCGCCAGCTCCTGGCCCCCAGCTCACCCCAGCCCTTCCTGCCTGGCTCAGTGGCTGACCCCCGGTCCACGCCTCAGCCACTTCCCGTCTCGCCTGCCGCCATCCCCCACCCTCCTTTCCCTGCCCTCACTGCCTCTCCCAGCTTCACTCTCACTACTCAGTCCCTGCCCCACTCCCCACCCAGCCTCTCCCACTGGGATACCTCCTAAACCTCGGTCCAGCCAGCAGGCTCATTTTTGGAGGCCAGTGACAAAGGGGTCTTTAAGACTGAAGTCTCTGTAGATGAAGCCTGCCTCACCCTCCCAGGCTGCCACAGGAGAGTGGGAGTTGGTAGTGCCCTGGCACAGGTGGGAGGAGACCCTCCTTACCTCTGTCATGAGGCGGTCGGCACCACTGTTCTCCTCATCCTTGAAGATGATATCGGGGTTGTAGTTGGGTACGAGGTCCCGGAAGCGCTCAGAGCCCCTCGCCACCTTCCCCTCGGCTGGCCCACTGGCGCCCAGGGTCCGCTCAGGCACGCTGGGCACAAATTGCTTGTAAAGCAGTGGCACAGGCTGCTTGCGCCCATAGCGGCGCCGACCAACAGGTCCCCTGCCGGGTCCGCAGCTCTGGGCAGGCAGTGTCAGAAGTGCCAAGCAGCACAGGGGCAAGAGACTGGCCAGCAGCGCCATGGGTGCAGAGGGCTTGGGCTAAAAGGGAGCGTTCTTGTCTTCACTAGCTCTCCTGTCAGTTGGACATCTCCACGGTCGCCAGAGAGCAGCAGCAGGCAGAGCCGCCCCCAAGTGCCCTAGAGCTCCCGTGGCTCTGCGAACCTGGCTGCCGCCACCTCTGTCCACGTGTCCCGGGGGCCTAGAACCTGCTACTGATGGGCTACCATAGCAGCGAAAGGGGGTCGTGGGTGAGTGCCAGCCCAGACGTCTCTGCTGCGGGTCTCCGGTGCTGCCAGAATCCCCGGACTCCGCCTTAAGTGCCCCTGGCCACGCCTCCGCCCTTTCCCAGGACCGTCCTTCCCCCTCCCACCCAGGCGGGGGATCCAGCCGGTCACCACTGTTCCATTTCTCCACTGAAGTGTGTTCTATCCTGGAAACCGGGCAGGCACCTGCCTAGGAAATCCTTGTAGCTTTACAGTCCTTGGCTGCCTGGATAAGCATCCTTCTACCCCCAAGCCTAAATTTGGAACCGAATCATCCTGCTCTGACACTTGAATTGAGTCTTTGCTCTTCCAAAGCCTACCCTGCCAGGCCATGCCCTCTGCTGTCATCCAGGAAGTATGGGTTCCAATTTCTGTCCAAGGCCAGACGAATCCTTTGGGCGTGCAGAGCTTCTTTCCCCTGTGATCCTGCCCAAACTTATCTCGGTTCGCACTTAACAGTATCCAGGACTGGAAGGCATGGATCCCAGGGGACCATTTTCTTTTGTAACTTTATAGTCCTCCACTGGGGACTTCCCCAGAACCAGGAACAGAACTTGGTAGTGAGTCTGGTTTAGTACTCTCAACTTTTGTGCCTTCTCAACCCTCACCAGACATCCAACCCCACCTCTCTCTGAATATATGACCTGTCATTTGGAAGCTGCTGAAGGGCAGTGGGCACTGAAACGTCCTAGTTTGTGAAAGGCCAATGATTACTTCCCTTCACCTTCCATCTAGGCACCTCTCTGGCCTCCTAGGAATGCTATTCACCTGCAGAGCAGTGGGGCAAGTGGCTTGTCCACCCAGCAGCACAAGCCAACAGTTCCCAGTGAGGCCTCCAGGTCAGGTCTCATGGAGGTCCTTACTCAAAGGGATGCATCTACCAATTTCTATTACTTGTAAACTGCGTCCTCTAAGAAGACTTCCCTGGTGTCTCAGCACTGCCCACCTGGGTGCCCTTGCAAAGCAGCAACTAACTTCATGGCAGGACAGTGTCAATGTGGCACCCTGCTAGACAAAGCAGCTCCTAGCACAGCTTGTTTATCATGTATCTCAAGGCCAAGGGCTCAGCCCACAGTACGGTGCTCAGCCAGTGTTTGTGGGGCTTACACCCTCCTCTCACCCAGCTCCACAGGGACTCTGCGTACATTAGGAAAAAGCAATCCTTTCTCAAGACATTTGGCTCCCCTTTACAAAAAATGGTCATGGGAACCGAGGCTATAGCTCAGGGGTGAGCACCTGCCTAGCATGTGTGAACCCCTGTATTCAATCCCCAGCTCTGAAGGGGTAGACAAGAAAATGTTTACAGTAACTACACAAGTGGTTGTCCTAGAAATTAGGCAATGCAGATTATATAACCCTAGGCAGAAGAAATGTCCTTATCCCCAACATAGTGAGGGGACTTCAAGGAACTGACAGCTGCTGACAAAAAATTAGGCTCTTTTCTTTTTTGAGGGGGTGGGGGAGCAGGGTCTTGCTATGCAGCCCTGGCTGGCCTTGAATGCATGGCAATCTTCCTGCCTCAGCCTCCCAAGAGCTGGAATTACAGGCATGCACCACCAAGCCTGGCTATATTTGAGACAAGTCTTACTATGTAGTCCAGGCTGGCCTTGAACTCGGTGTGATCTTCCTGCCTCAGCTTCCTGAGTGCTGAGATAACAGGCATACACCACCACTCCTGGTTTTTGAATTTAGGCTTTTTTCTGAGGAAGGATTAAGCCTTGCCAGGCACCACTACCCATCCCCTTTAAAGTTTGCAGTAGGGAGATGAACTCAGGGCCTCTGCACTGAGCTACATCCCAGCCCTTTTTATTTTGAGGAGGGTCTCACTAAATTACCAGGCTGGGCTTGAATTAGTGAACCTCCCGCCTTAAACTCCCAGAGTGCTGGGATTATAGGCATGCACCACCACTCCCAGCTATATCCCCAATTCTTAAGGTACAGAAACAAGGCCCTGAGTGTAAGAAAGACTCAGGAACAACTAGTTTTAATAAGGCTTCCCACTGCTCAACTGTATGGCCCAACATCAGATCTGTGTCCCCACAGGACAGTGTAGAGAGCAGAAGGAAGAATGGTGGCAGATCCTCTATTTGTCTCACTTGGTCGACTCAGGACAGGTGGAAACAAGGTTGTTCAAATGGACACAGAGACAAAGAAACTAAGCAAAACAAAACAAGAAAACCCTGGGATCAACTTTATTGCTGATGGGTGCAGTCTCTTCCGCCTTATGTTCTCAGTTTCTCCAACGGTCCAAAGCCCCTCCAGAACAGCCCAGTGCTTAGGCTCTGTTGGGCAGAAGCATGGGAAACCACCTGCCTCCCTAAGCCTACCCTCGCCCAGTCCCTCCCACCCTCACCCTACCCTATTGCACATCAAATCATGTAAACATGGCTACGGGCATAGCCCAGAACAGAGGTGAGGCAGATTGATGTGTAAATGGATTTAGGACCAAGAGCCAGACCCAGGTCACCCAGCCCTACCCTATGCTGAGGCCACAGTCAGTCTGGAAAAGAAAGAGTCCTGGTCCCAAACTCTGGCTCAGATTATGCAACAGTGAAGATGGCTCAGTTCCCCTCTGCCACCCATCCTCTCAGATTCCAGGTCCTGAGGTCCAACCACCCTTGGGCTCCCCTCCAGGCCTAGGCAGCAGATGGAAGCATCCAGTTTTCTCCTTTCACCCCCTGATGGAGGTCACTGGTGCCGAGTCTTCCTAGATGACCGAGGGAAACCAGCAACAGGCAGCGGCAGCCTGTCCAGCCCTGCAGAAGAAGGGGAGGTGGGCAGTCAAAAGTGGGACACAGGTCCAGTTCCCCAGGGACAAGACAGGCAGGGCACAGAATTGGGTGGTCCTCAATGAAATATGTTAAACAAAGGCCATTGGCGAGGAGCTGGACCACGCCCTCAATGAGATGACTTCTATAGCGAAACCGCCTGCTTTCTAATGAGCTGAAGCTAAGGCTGCATGATCTGTGTGACTGATGGGCAGGGCTCCCTGGTGCCCAGTAAACCGAGCTCACTGCTCACACCACTGACCTGGACCCCAGCAAAAGCTGACTGTCTTTTCCAAAGTTATTATTTTGCCCTAAACAAGTTGTTTTTTACTTGAGGCAGTTAGAATACTATTGATTTCCTAATAGCACTGTAAAGTTGAAACAGTTAAATACTGCATTTCTATCCCTCTATCAGAGATTATGAGTGACAAAGGAAGGGGCCCGAGAGGTTGCAGTGAGAAAGCTTGGGAGAATTTTCTGTTTTCCACCTTTTCACTTGTGCACTGACTATAGGATAAGATCTCTTGGATGGATGTTTTTCTAACAATAAAAAGACTGACTTGATTTAAAAAAAAAAAAGAAATATGTTAAACACCAAGTAGGAAGCACACCCTCTCTCCTGGTAGGATGTCAGGTCCAAGTGCTGTATTTTAGACCACCCTACCAGCCTGCCACCTCCCACTCCTCACCAAAGGCCTGGATCAGCTCTGCCCGAACAGCTGCAGTGAAGGTCTTCACCAGACAGAGCGTAGTGAGGCCAGCAAAGGCTGCATTGTACAGGAACACGATGTAGAAATTGCCCAGCCAGTTGAAGCGGCCAAAGTCACCCAGCAGGTCAAAGCGAGTAAGCCCTGAAGTACAACAGCCAGGATGAGAAGGAGGCTCCCTAACCCTCTTCTGGTAGGAGCCCAACTTTCTGCTGCCTCCTGGTGGACACAGCTCAGCACTACAACTGGTAGGTTGGCTTCCCTGTGCATGCCTTGCTACCACCTCCCAAACTGTTTTTTTTCCTCTTTTCTTGTTTTTTGAGACAGGGTCTTGCTATGTAGCACATGGATCCTCCTGCTTCAGCCTCCCAAGTGCTGGGATTAAGGCCTACAGCACCACATCTGCTCCAAGCTCTATCCTAACGCCACATTCCCAACTATTTAACAAAGTGTCAGCAAGTCAGCTTACTCCAATTTCCCTTCCAGAGTCTGGCATCTTTTCCTCTAATAGGTCCCCTCTGGCTCCAAGTGGCCCTAGGAATTACCAAGCATGCTACTTGCTCCTGGACCTGGAATCTGCAAACTAGTCACCAAGTATCCTTATTTTGGGGGGGGGGGGTACTGGGGATTGAACTCAAGGACCTTGAGCTTGTGAGGCAGGTGGTGGCACCACTGAACTAAATCCCTGGCCCTACCAAGTGTTCTAAGCAGTACAGGGGCTAAGAGCTCAGACTATGTGGGACTGCTCTGGTTAATATCCCAACTCCACATGACTACCCATGTAATGCAGGGAAAATTCTTTATCTCTCTGTGGCTCCTCAATTACAAAATAAAGAATGGGACTGCAAGAATTAAATAAGGCAACAGCTGGGCATGGTGGCACACACCTGTAATCCCAGCACTTGGGAGGCTGAGGCAGGAGGATCACTGCAAGTTTGAGGCTACCCAGGGCTACATAGTGAGTTCAAGGCCAGCCTGAACTACATAGTGAGACCCTGTCTCAAAAAAAAAAAAAAAGAATTAATTAAGATAAGACAACACACATAAAGCCCAACAGATACAAGGCACTGGTCTAATACTTACTAAGCTCTTAATAACAATAATATTATGAATCCAAGATCTGATCTCCCATCCAAATATTGCTACCTGCATCCAAGCTAACAGAACTGATGGACCCACAAACTTATTTTCCCACTAAATTCCCAAAGCACAAATACAAGTGACATGGTAAGAGTGCAGGCTGAGCATCCCTAATACCGGTAGAGCTTTTTTTTTTCACAGTACTAGGGAATGAACCTAGTACTAAGCTTCACACTAAGCTAATCCTCAGCCCTTTGCTTATTTTGGTGGTGCTAGGGATTGAACCAGCCCTTTTTATTTATTTTGAGATAAGATCTCATTAAATTGCCCAGGCTGGTTCCAACTTGCAATCCTCCTGCCTCAGTCTCCCAGAGTGCTGGGCCAGGCTGAGCATTTTGCTTTATTTTCATTTTGGGGTCTCCCTATGTTACCCAGCTGGGTTTTGCACATGAGCTGAAATGACCCTCCCATCCCAGTCTCCCTAAAAGCTGCA